AAAAACGTATTAAAAATTTCAGTTTTCAATTTGTTATATCTCCTAAACCAATGCCGTCCCCCACTTGATTCTTGCAGGGAATTACTCAGAAAACTCTCCCCTACAACATACCTAAGTGGCGAGGAAATCGGTGAGGTGTAACCTATTCTGCATATTTACCGAAGAAACATCATATTATGTAAAGGAAATGGCATGTGTAAATGACGGTATTACATTTGAATATAAGAGAAACGCTGTTGAATTTTGGAAACCTCATGATACAGGGAAGACAAAATTGTTTGAGACCGTGAAACGTAGATTTCGGAAAGTAACATCTCTACGCCAGTTACAAAGATGGCAAGAACAAGTGAACAGAGGAGGGACTAGATTGGAGAAGTGGAAAAGAATTTCATCATATACATTGGACAAATTCCAAGAAGCTCTTGAGAGAGGGGTAATCATCCACGATATTGATATTGTTCGATGGGTCCTTAAAGCAAAAGAGGAGATTAATTTACCAGAATATGGAGCATCGGCCACATGGTTAAGAATGTTTAAAATAGCGCACAATATTGTATCCCGAAAAATCACAAAATTTATTACAAAAAAGACTTTAGTATCAAAAGATATTCTCGAAGCGGAAAGTAATAGATTTATTGAAAATGTTAAATATTATATTACACGTTATGGATATGAAAATATATATAATTCTGATCAAAGTGGTTTCCAATTAGAATGTCATAGTGGTTGTTCTTTAGCAATTAGAGGGTCAAAAAAGATAGAATGTACGGCACAATCGATATCGGCAACTACGCATAGCTATACGATTCAACCAACAATATCAGGCGATGGTAGATTATTATCGCCTTTTTCCATCGTTTTAAAAGAACCCACTGGATCATTCGGTCCGCCAGTTCAAGAAACAATGTTTAGAGAAAGAAATCTTTCTGTTTTGGCCTCAAAATCTGGAAAATTAACTTCACATCATTTTGAAATTTGGTTGAGAGAGGTTTATTTTCCAAATGTTGGTCCTAAATCAGTTTTATTATTGGATTCGTGGACTGGTCATTGCCCGGATGTAATTGCCAGAAATAAACCAGAATCTGCACGAGATTCTGTTTTTCTAACTATACCAGCAGGGACAACTGGTCAAAGACAACCATTAGATGTATATGGTTTTCGCTTGTGGAAAAATTTTATAAAATATTTTTCGGATACTGTCATACTTTTAGACCTTGAAATCAAACTTCAGTTATGCGATGCCATTTTAAAATTACAATCATTAACACATTATCAATTTTTATCACCGAGATTTAGAGATTTATTTAAATATGCGTGGCACAAGAGCGGTTATATAGAAGAAAGGATCAATTTGAAACGCCGGTCGATTTCTGTTTCAAGAAAAATTTTAAACCAACATGTGATTAGTGATATCTGCGGCACCATAAGTATAATTACGTGCGCATGGTGCAAGAAATCTCTATGTTTACAACATTTCTTTCACAACCATCACATGTGTAATAATTTTGAACCATAAATACATTACATTATTTGCATTACTTCAAACTTTATTCATAAAAATTTGTTGTTTTACATTTTAAATTGTTTAATATTAATATTGTAACCCAGATAGCACGTGATATCCTTAGTATATTCTGGGAATGTACGAAATGTGCGGAGAATATACGGAATATTCTCAGACTATCCTGAGAATATCTGAAAAATGATATCATATTTCAGATATCCTGAAAATATCTGTAATATGATATCCATTTGCAGACATACTGAGAATATCCTTAGTATGTCTGTAATATGATATCCATTTGCAGATATACTGAGAATATCTATCCTTAGTATATCTGAAATATAGTATTCCTAGGCTAGTACAGATGGCGCGGTATACATCTAGTGCTGTGAGAGTGATTTAACGTTCGATACATCGATGAAAATTATAGTGATCTCTGCCATCCATTTGTGAAGATTAACACGTGCTTTTTTGCTGAAATAATTTATATATATTATTACAAACGCAAGTGTTCGCGATCGGGCGAGTCGCACGCATCGCTCGCGCGCGCCGCGAGCGCGGGTCGCGAGCTCGCGTCTGGAGCGGAGCGTGTCACGTGCTGTTCGGCGATCGCGTTCGGGCAGCATTCGGCAAATCCGTCATCGAATACTACGAATCGTACCGCAAGTCGCCGACGCTAGCACGAGTTTCCCCGAATTGCCCTCTCCCTTGTCACGAGACGAGAATAATCGGCTCATCTCGATTTTAACGCGTTGTAAGCCGACACTGTAGTTTTGCAAATCGATCCTAGCAGTCAGAGGAGTTTAGAACGTCTGAGTTTTCGAGTCACCAATCGAGATCAACCGCGATCGGGCCCTTCGGTTACTCTGCGAGTGTCGCCACAAATAGTTTCGCCGATCGTGCGTGTCTCGATCCCGCTTCTCGTTCGTGGCAGAGTTCACCGCGCGCGTGTTCTTCTGCCTTATACGTCTCGTCGTTCGACGGTCTCACGCCTCCGTATCTCTATTACCTGTATCCATATTACTTATTTATGTTTGATTAATGTATTGTCCTATTAATAAAGGGGGGAGGTTCGCGAGGATGAGAGTCTGGACACCGCTCACAAAGATTTCTCTTTATGCGCTGTCCTACCACTCTGATTGTGAGTGAACTTCGAACTTTATATCCGTTCAGCCCTTTCCGAGACAAATCGTTTGTCTCCTCCTATTCAAAATCGCCAGATCATCTCCCGACGCATCATTGCCGTCCTTTGTTGGTCTCGACTCGGTGACCTAACGGTTCGGTGTTAACAACACCAACTTTGACTCTCGCCCGGGCGACGGTTTCTCGGAGTGAAAAACACCTAACGTCTACCAGTCTCGGGAATTTGCGGAGATCCACTTATCACTTCGCGTCTCACGTGAGGCGGTTCCGGGATACGTTTCGGCCTGAGGCTTTCCTCAGTCGCTCCGAAACAGCAAGTATTACAAATTATTTATCAATATTACGGCGGTAAGTTACATACGGAAACGTTTTAAAGGGATGCTGGTGCTGTGCAGGGACTTTATCATAACCTCGAACACGAACAATATTTGCTTAGTACAAAAATGCTACAATTAGGATAAGGAGCTGATTTTGTAGTGTAAGGGGATGCTAGCACCGTTCCTGCACGGCGCCACAGCATCCCTTTAATCACTTATATTTCTTAATCTTTACACGCAATAGAGCCTAACCTCAAATAATAAATAAAATATAACTTAAACTAGAAATTGCAATTATATTTCTAAATAGTCTGTATTTATAATCAGAATAAAAATTTAAATTGCTACGTGAAAATAAATAATTATAATTCTGTGAAGATTATTAAAAAATATATTATTTCAGCGTTACTGGATTAACTGCGAAGGATTCAGTTGACGGCCACATACAATAAGTCTTTAACGTTTGGTCCATTATTATTTATAAATTAAGTATTACAATACTTTTTTGGTATTATAGTTTTGTTTCTGAATACATATACTATAAAATGGCATATAAAAGATCACGAAAAGATATAATTTCTCTCTCTTCTCGACATCGCCGTAGATTTATTAAACAAGAAGCAGATGTAGTATTTCATGCTCTCCTTGATAATAATGCATCATGTAGCAATTATGCTAATACTACTGATAATATACGTGAGCATACAAGGTGTGTCCCAAAAGTCATGAAAAATATTTTTTTGCCGCACCCCTTCTGGTCGCAGCGTGTTCGAACCTGTTGGGTGAGGTAGGGGGGGCCCTTATCTTCATTGCGCACCAACGGTCAGTCTGCTGCGAAAATCAGAAGAATCAGAATAGCTGATTTAGTGCACCCTTGTTTCGAGACCACGTCACGACGCGCGATGGCTACTTTCGAGCAACGTTGGGCGATCAAATTTACGTAACGATGCGATGCACAGTAGTTTTCGGAATGTTCAGAGTGTCAGCTAATAACTGAACACTTATTCGTCGGTCAGAATGTAACAAATCACACACACGAGTCACATTTTCATCGATTTGGGTTGTTGATTCTTTGAACCTCTTCACCCATTTCGAAACTTGCACATACGATAGAGCAGACTCCCCGTACGCTTGCTTGAGCAATTCGTGAGTTTCGGTAACTTTTTTGTCAAGTTTTGTGCAAAATTTGGTCGTCCAACGTTGCTAGAAAGTAGCCATCGCGCGTTAGAATCAGTTGACGTGGTCTCGAAACAAGGGTGCACTAAATCAGCTATTCTGATTCTTCTGATTCTCGCAGCAGACTGACCGTTGGTGCGCAATGAAGCTAAGGGTGCCCCCCACCTCACCCAACTGGTTCGAACACGCTGCGACCAGTAGGGGTGCGGTAAAAACAATTTATTTCATGACTTTTGGGACACACCCTGTACATGCAATGAATTAACTAGTGATGAAGGTAACGTTTCAATATATAATTCTGAATATGATAGGAACGAAAGTAGTGAGGAAGATAATAATGCGGAAGAAATTATAGAATTGAGAAGGAATGATGTAGTTTGTCATAACGATAATCACGTAGAAATTCAACATGAGATAAGTAATGAAGACGGTGATGGTTGTCAATATATACAAAAATTTCTTGCATCTTGGGCAAATGAATGTAATATTTCATTTTCAGCTTTATCATCATTATTACGTGGATTGAAAAAATTGAATGGTCTTGACAGATTACCATCGGATCCACGAACTCTCTTGAAAACTCCAAGATTTACAAATATATTTACTGTAGCCCCTGGAAAATATTACCATTTTGGCTTGAAGCAAGGGATTTTGAATATATTATCAAAAACTGAAAACTTACCAGAATGCGTACAATTATGTATTAACATTGACGGACTACCGATTTTCAAATCTACGGAGAAACAATTTTGGCCGATATTAGGATCAATACATCTATATGAAACAGTATTCCCGATTGGTATTTACTATGGTTCAGAAAAACCTTTAGATGTAAATCATTTTTTAAGTTACTTTATTGCTGATGCAACGAAATTGTGCACCGAAGGAATTAATGTTAAAAATAAAAATATTTCTTGTATTTTACATGCGTTAATCTGTGATGCACCTGCTCGGGCATTTGCATTGCAAGTTAAAGGTCATACTGGCTACAACAGTTGCTTCAAGTGTACTATTAAAGGTCGGTATACTCTAAACAGAGTTTGTTTTCCTAGAATTGATGCTCCGAGTAGAACCGATGATGATTTTAAAGCAAAAACCGATGAAGACTACCACAAAGATAATGTTACATGTGATTTACTGAAAATTCCACATTTTGGGCCTGTTACAAATGTTCCATTAGACTATATGCACTTAGTGTGTTTAGGAATTGTCCGAAAAATAGTTAATTTATTACTAACTGGTGATTTAAAATATCGTATTGGACGATTTTCAAAGGAAAGAATATCGTCATCACTGATTTCATACGAAAAATGGATGTCTCGTGTTTTTGTAAGAAAACCAAGATCACTAAAACATGTTGCAATGTGGAAGGCAACTGAGTTTAGACAATTATTATTATACATTGGACCCATAGCTCTAAAATATATACGCTCTGATATATATAATCATTTCATATCTGTTGAGACCATTCTTCATATCTATGTACTAAGCAAATACGTATGACCATTCTTTATGTCTATATCCTAAGCAAATAAGTATACGACGTCGTGCACGACAAGCCGAACACTCGATGCGTCACAAAAGGAACACTCGATGCGTCACAAAGGGAACACTC